TTCTTTCTCACATATCCCGCCTTCATTAGCGTCTCGGAGCTCTGCGATGGTTTAATAAAATGTTATGATAGTCAGGCCCCGCCCACCCCCTCCCCTCTCGAGAGACCAAGATCAATGTCCACCGAGAGTTTACCAGCTGAAGCTACTGAGGAACAGCTCCTGACTAGAAGGAAAAGGTAATACTTCATTGTCTTTGGAGTATGAAAAGTGTGATGTTAGTATCAGTTAGATCTTCTCCAGAATCAGGCCAAAGTCCCTGTACTGTAGTACATGGACTTTGGCCCAATTTCGCTAAATATCAAAAGTAGAGAATTCTCTATTTTTATCATTTTTTGTTGCATATGCATGTACTTATGTTGCGTAGAATGCTTCCGAAAGAGAAATAAATAACTGAAATTTCCATAGATTATTATTTAATTTTTGTTGTCCAATACAATAACTCATTTAGCCATGTACAGTACATGCTCATACATTTCCAGTAATTATTACAGCATCTTCATTCGTCTGTCGTCTGCCCGTTTGTACATGTGTACTTGTGCATGACTAAAATTGGCATAACAATATTCACTGTTTGTGTGCCCGTTAGAGTAGAAATTAATTTGGCATCATTTTTATTATTATTAGCAATAATTGACTCTTATTAGTACATGTACGTGTAACTTTATGATACCCTAAGGCAAAATCCTGTACATGTACATGTAGTCATGTAGACTGATGTAGTATTATTATTTTTAAATTTCTCTCTCTTTCTCTCTCTTCAGAGTCGTGTGGGCCGTTAGTATTTGGGTATCTATGGCTAAGGCGGAGGTTGTTAAGGATCCAACGTTTCAAAAACTCTTACAATATCTCCAAAAGTCCCTAGCTAAGGACGGGCTCGAGGAGGATCAGCGAAACTTGAACATGTGTCTAATGGACACCATCAAGAGGAGCTCCTATCACGAGGGAACTAAAGGGGGAGGTTCCTCTGGTCTCTCTATACCTGTAAGGGAGGGGTGGGGCTCATTATATTTTTAATTATTTTTCTAATTTTTGGTTTTTTAGTTTCCTATGAAGAAGCCGTCGGTTAGCGAGATTAAGATTGAATTAGGAATATGTGCTGTGCCGCCTTGTCAACCAAATGATACCGGTAATTTATTTATTTATTTATTTATTATTATTATCACATGTATTTTAAAAATGAACTCTTTTTTCCAACAGTGAATCTACGGATACACACGATTGATAAGAAATGCTGCAGGCTTCATGTTAAGTTGAGCTCGACAAGTCGTGACATATTAACTGAGGCATGTTCTAAACTTGGACTAGACCTCTCGTCCCACGAACTATGTGAGATCAAGAGTACCGGAGAGAAGATCATCTTCAAAGAGACCGACCTTTCAATAGCAACTGAGATGACTGTTAATGGCCGACTTTATGCTTTGCCTAAAGACAGTGAAGCAGCCATTGTAAGTTTTAGTGTTATCTCAAATCAATATGATGCTATCTTGAATCAATATCATGTTATCTTGAATCAATATCATGTTGTCTCATCTCTTGTTAGAGTCCTTTACCTGATCAGAATCAAAAACCGATTGCTCCTTTTCCCGAGAGTGAAGGCTCAAGGGAAATTGCTGCTCATCTCACTTCGTACGATTGGAATCTTTTCTCAAACATTCAGCAGATGGAGCTCATTTATCAGGTCTTTGGACGTCACCGGTTCTCTCGCATTACGTCAAACCTTGACGTCATGATCCGAAGGTTCAACGAGGTTCAATACTGGACTGTGACTGAGATCTGTAAGGAGAGCAACTTACAGAAAAGAGTCAAAATAATTCAGAAATTTATCAAAATCGCTTCTCAGTGAGTTACGGGCTTTATTTGTTAATTTATTTATCTGTTCCTTCTCTTGTTTTTTTAGTTGTAAAAGTTTTAATAATTTAAATTGTTTCTTTGCCATTGTTGTTGGACTAATGAACGGAGCAATAACAAGACTCAAGCAGACCTGGGAGGTAAGGAATAACTGACACTGTTACTACTGTATAGCCACCACTGATGAAATACACTGTACTATAGTACAGGGACTTTGGCCTAATTTTTGAGTAACTTTAAAAAATCATAAAAAATCCAATTTTGATCGGAATCAGCTCAAACTTTCTGCGCAACATAAGTACATGTATATGCATCAGAAAATATTATAAAAATTGAGAATTCTCTACTTTTCATTTTTGGCGAAATTTGGTCAAAGTCCCTGTACTATAGTACAGGGACTTTGGCCCGATTTTTGAGTAACTTTAAAAAATCATAAAAAATCCAATTTTGATCGGAATCAGCTCAAACTTTCTGCGCAACATAAGTACATGTATATGCATCAGAAAATATTATAAAAATTGAGAATTCTCTACTTTTCATTTTTGGCGAAATTTGGTCAAAGTCCCTGTACTATAGTACAGGGACTTTGGCCCGATTTTTGAGTAACTTTAAAAAATCATAAAAAATCTAATTTTGATCGGAATCAGCTCAAACTTTCTACACAACATAAGTACATGTATATGTATCAGAAAATATCATAAAAATTGAGAATTCTCTACTTTTCATTTTTGGTGAAATTTGGCCAAAGTCCCTATACTATATAGTACAGGATTCAATCAGGATCAGGTCATTATGTATATTTCTTAATTGTGTCCTTCAGAAAGTATCAGTTAAGTTAAGGAGACGGTATGAGCAGTTTGAAGCATTAATGGATCCCTCAAGAAACCACCGAGTATTGAGGGCCTACCAACAGAAACTCCAGCCTCCTATCATCCCATTTATGCCACTCATTGTCAAAGGTATTAACCTCATTCTAATTTATGATACAAGCCTTTACTCCCTCTTTTTCCTTCTCCTTCCCTCTTCCCCCCCTCTCTCTCTCTCCAGATGCTTTTTTCCTTCAAGAAGGTAACGAAACATTTGTCGATGGATTGGTCAACTTTGAAAAAATGGTACACTTCTTTAATTACTTAATAATGATAGACTCATCTCTCTCTTTCTTTTAGCGAATGGTGGCATCAAAAGTCAATGATTTCAGTTACTATAGAAAAGGGTCTCTAGCAAACGAAATAAAAATGCTATCGAATAAAAACTCCGAACTACAAAGATATATAAGGTAAAATTAATTAATTAGTAACGATATTTATTTGAAGTTTCCTTTCCCAGGGATTTCAAAGTTATCGACAGTCAACAGGTTCTCATGCAAATGTCTCACGCCATAGAGTCCAGTAAAAGGACACAAGCCACGCCTACTTCTTAAACTCCTCCTATTTTCTCTCATTGTCACTTCTTACTAACTATGCTATACAGGTGTTGCTCGATGTCACGCCCCCACACTTTAATTAGTGAATTATATGCATAATGTGAACACACCCACTCACAACAGCTGTAATATATCAATATTATTAAATTATTATTATTATTATTACTATTGTACTGAGCATCATAATGAATCTCTTATTGTATTAATTTAATGTTATGAAATCTTTTTATGGTAAGAATTATAAATTGTCCATTGAACATTACAACAGTAGAAACTGGCAAATAATAGATCTGTTTCACAAAAGAATCTTATTTCACAACAGCACAAAATCATCAAAAACATATCAAAAGAGAAACTAAAAAGAAATGTCCATAAACAAAGTCCAGTATATACTTTCTAAAATTCCTCGCATTCCGACTGATCGTTGGAGTCCAAACCAACCTCCTCGTAATCCTTCTCTAGGGCAGCGAGGTCTTCCCTAGCTTCAGTGAACTCTCCCTCTTCCATGCCTTCACCGACGAACCAGTGGACAAAGGCTCTCTTGGAATACATCAGATCAAACTTGTGATCTAGTCTACTCCAAGCCTCAGCTATGGCTGTTGTGTTGGAGAGCATGCAGGCAGCACGAGGGACTTTAGCAATAGTACCACCTGGAACTACTGTTGGGGGCTGGTGATTGATCCCAACTTTGAATCCAGTGGGACACCAATCCACAAATTGGATTGTACGCTTTGTCTTAATTTTAGAAATGGCCACGTTGACATCTTTGGGTACCACGTCTCCTCTGTAGAGGAGGCAGCAGGCCATGTACTTCCCGTGACGTGGGTCACACTTGACCATTTGATGGCAAGGATCAAAGCAGGCAGTGGTGATATCGGTCACAGTGAACTGCTCGTGGAGTGCCCTCTCTGCAGATATGATAGGAGCATACGTCACCAATGGGAAGTGAATCCGTGGGAATGGAACGAGGTTCGTTTGAAACTCTGTGAGATCAACGTTTAGTGCTCCATCGAATCGAAGAGAAGCTGTAGTAGAGGAGACAACTTGAGCTATGAGCCTGTTAAGATCAGAGTATGAAGGACGCTCTATTGCAAGGTTATCCTGACATATGTCAAAAGTAGCTTCATTGTCCATCATGAAAGTGCAGTCAGAGTGCTCCATTGTGGAATGAGTAGTGAGGACAGCGTTGTATGGCTCAACCACTGCTGTAGCTACCTTTGGAGCAGGATACACGCAAAACTCCAGCTTTGATTTCTTCCCATAGTCGACAGAGAGGCGCTCCATAAGCAGTGACCCAAAACCTGATCCAGTCCCACCGCCAATCGACCGGAAGAGCAGAAACCCTTGAAGGTTGGTGCACTGGTCGGCTAGTTTACGGACTCTGTCAAGGACCCCATCTATCATCTCCTTTCCAACTGTGTAATGGCCTCTGGCATAATTATTGGCGGCATCTTCTTTGCCAGTGATCAGCTGCTCTGGATGAAACAGCTGGCGGTAATCACCAGTACGTACCTCATCTAGTAAAGAAGAGAGAGAGAGGAAATATTATGAAAAATAGGAGAACTCTATAATCTTACCTACGACTGTTGGCTCCAGATCAACAAAGATGCTTCTTGGTATGTACTTCCCGGACCTGGTCTCGCTGAAGAAGGTGCTAAAAGAGTTGCCTCCAATAACTCCAGTGTCAGGTACCATCTGACCGTCAGTTTGTATGCCATGCTCGTGGCAATACAGCTCCCAGCAGGCATTCCCTATCTGGACTCCAGCCTGACCCACGTGAAGGGATACACACTCTCTCTAAAGGAAAGGGAACAGGCTTAAAACAATAGAGCCATTGCTGATGAACTAACAGGCATAGTGAGATGGAGCAACTGAAGAGGAGACAGCAATCAAACGAGCAGAAGCAAGACAGTTGAGTGACTGAGAATAAGAAGAGAAACTGTGTCTTTAATATGAAGAAGTGCCCCTGAAGTGGGGCCACTTTTTCTGACCAATAGGATTGAGTCTCGTGTAAGGAGAGTCCTGTCTGGCCCAAGAGCCTCACCATGTACTCTTTGCTTGTACTTGTAACAGAATCATGTCTGCTGGCATGATGCTGGTCACAAACAATGACACGTGTAGTCACGTGGATGGGCGGGGACAGTTTAAAATTAAAATTAATTTTAATACAAAAGAAAAATGAATAATAAAGAGGATTCATTATTTGTTCTGAGGATTATTGTAGAGACTGTTTCCATGACTACCCATGTACTGTCCCCACGGCTGATCCTCACTTGCATAGTATCGTTTAAAGTTAATCCCAGCTGCAGCTCCAGCTCCGTAAACCTCCATCACTTTATCCTCAATGTTAAACGCTTGTACTGTAATCTTTGGCGAGTGAAGTGGGCCAGATAGCTGAGGGATATCAAGTGCTCCAGAAACAGCTGAATACTGCATTGATACAATACCCTCGGGACTGCTGTCCCCATTAACATCAGTTATAGCAAGTGTGCTCGGCGAATAATGGGGCGCTAACACGTGAGAACAACGGACTACCTTCCTGTTACTCAGTCGGTTTTTAGTATCTTCTATAATATCTGATACCGAAGGAGGTTTAAAACTGTGACGCTTTGTTTTAGCATTGGGTGACTGAGTTCCTAAGAGAAAGAGAGAGAGAGATAATAATGTCATTTGACATGTTATTAATAGTAATAATAATAATTTAACGTAAGGATCATCATGAAAATGGTCCACATGCAGCTGCTTACTGTACACATAAGGCTTGAACATCAACAGTGGCTTGATCTCCTTTTCCTCTTTGATCAGTTTAGACGTCAAGAAATACACGCCAGTTCTCATACTCTGATAATCCATACCGCAGTACGAGGATATGAAAGACTCAGTATCGGACTCAGGATCTGGGTATGAGTCTGAAGCATTATGCACCTCCCACAAATCAGTCGGGATGTAGCTAGAAAGGTTAAGGGTCATACCAAAGAACTCAAAAGGTTCAGGAACAGCGTCAGGAGGAGAGACTCCATCGTTATTTCCTTCTTCATTCTCCATTTCCTCATCTTCTTCATCTTCATGTCTCTTTGTTCTTTCGTTTATCTTCCAAGAGTCCATTTGTTGTCTCACAGCTGGACAAACATTCAGTGTGTCCTTCTTTGCTCTTTCTTTGTGTCCCGTTGAACAATCAACAGCTGCAAACAAGAAACCATCATGTCCTTTATCTCTGTGTCTCCAAACAACAGGAGACGACATTAAAGATTGAGAACAGTTAAGCATCCACAAATAGTTACTGCTCCCTTCACTCATGCCCCTTTCTCCTCCAACCCTCCTCCCTCCCTCTCCTCCTCTACCATCCAGCACTGCCAATAGCGAGTAATCATATTTGGACCAGCTCCCTTTATTAATTCTGAGGATTATATCAAGGACATCATCGTCGTTAAAATATATTGGAGCAGGAATACTGTAAAAATAATAAATAAATAATAATAGTATTATATTCACTGTCAAATACCTGTATGACTGTGTTCCAGGAACATAGTGGTCCCATTTAAAAGACAGAGTATGTCCATCAAAGAGAAGAGTGTGTCCATTAAAAGCTGACACTATCAAGTCATTTTTATCATCGTTATTGATATCAGCAATAACCGGAGGTAGCATGACTCCACCCACTTCAACTGATCGATATAGTTCGTACACACACAACTTATACACGTTCCAAACTGGTTTGATGCTAGCGGACCATTTGGGGCAGGATTCAAGCCACACTTCTTTCTTATCATTGTCATAAAGTCCTTCCCTAATCCTTGGTCTTGAAGACAGCAGCTGTGAGCTATTGTAACACGAAGGATGAAAATAGTCTTTGTTGATGATGAAATCTCTCATACGATATTCCTTCCTCTGCATGAATGAAGAGACGTGAGCTGAGAGACTGTTCAAACTGATCGCCCACAGCGAACCAGTGATGGTTTCACCTCCAGTACCAAATAATATCAGATCAACAGAGGAAGAGGAGGAGGAGGAGGAGGGAGGTACGCTGTATAAGACAGGTGATGAGTAAGACTCTTTTTGATCTGGGGTATGTATACGATCAGATATCTGCCGACCGGTTCCTCCAGATATAACTACAATCACTCCTGGACTTCGGACTGTGGCTAGCGGCGAATAGTTAGAGTCCCCACCATGAACGACAATGATATCCATGATACCATCTCTGTCAAGATCAGGGACATAAAGTGGATAATAATAGTTGAATGATGGACATGTAACGTTAATATCCACACTCCACAGTAGGATGTTCCTGTGTACATCTATGGCAACAAACGTGCCAATCCTTCCAGAAAACAAGCAGTCATTATGTCCATCTTTGTTCAAATCTTCCCGGCAGTTGGCGGCAAATGGAGCAAAACTTGACCAATGATTCCAAACCAGAGTCCCGCTATAGCCGCCAAGACCAAGGAGCTGAACCTGACAGGGGGTGTGGCCTTGTTTGATGAAGCACATATCATCTTCAGGACTCGAGTTAGGACATGTTTGATAGAAATTGTACGAATCAGTAATGGCATCAAAGATCACATCAGGTGATCCGTCAGAATCAATATCACTGACATGAACGCTGAGTTCAGTGATTCCACTTACCTCGTAGGTCCAATCACGAAATGGCAACAAAGTGGGACTTGGTTGTACGCTATGAACGATGGTTAACGGACGACTGGCTGATTGAGAGACAATGGCTAGTGGGAGAGCTAGTGACGATAGAGAAGAAGTGATGTGCTGTTGAGTATTTTGAGTTGAAGAGCTGGTTTGCATGAGGGAAGGTTGTGGAGTGAAAGAGTCCAGAAGTGATAGAACAATGCAAGTGACAATAATGCAGAATATGATGGCAAGAGCAATAATGAGAAGAAGAGTCTTTAAAGAAATGGATCTGCTTCTTTTCCCGTATCCTTTGCTTTCAATGTCATTGTCTGTGACAATAAAGACTAGTTCATGGTCCTCCATCTCTTCTTTTCCTGTAGGCATTCTCTTGTTGCTGCAAATGTCCATATCTTGTCTCGGTTTCTCTTCATCCGATTCTCTTTGAGAAAGAGGATGATAGCTCTTTCCTTTCTTGTAGGCATAAGAATATCTGGCAGACATTTTGAAGCGACTCTTAATGGGCGAGTAGTTTCAGTTGTTATTTCTCTTATAGTAGTTTGTTTATAAAAGTAGAATCCTCCATTATTGGGAGGAGCTTTGCTGAGTTTGGCGGCAACTCAGCGGGGAAAGGGGTGTGGCTAAAACCAAGTCTGTTTTGATTGGCTGGAGTCAGCTCCAAGGATAGGACCAATGGGATTTCAACAAGTGTTCTTCCCACGTGTCATTGAGAGGACACAAAACCTTAAAAATACACAAAGAGACCCTTAGACTTTAAATATAGGAGCTAATTAAACCTGTATCAGTATTATATACTTAGTCCATTATATCTGTAGTGATAGAGAGAGATAGAAGAAGAAGAGAAGAATAATGAAGGTTCTAGCGTTTCTTTGCGCAGTGTTACTTGGTGCAGTGGTAAGAGCTGACGAGGACTCACTTGTCCTGGTCCTCACCAAAGATACTTTTCATGAAGCAATTTCCTCTAACGAGAACATCCTAGTTGAATTCTGTACGTTAAACAAGATGCTGCATGGAGCTACCTGTGTTGTATTTGTTATGTTGTAATTCCACTTGTCACCTTTTCTCTCTCTTTCTCACTCTTCTTTATTCTTTTATTTAGATGCTCCATGGTGTGGACACTGCAAAGCGTTGGAGCCAGAATACAACAAGGCAGCTAAGATGATTGAGGAAGGAGGCATGGACTTCACTCTAGCTAAAGTTGACGCAACAGTTGAGAAGGAACTCGCCGAAGAATATAAAGTACAAGGATACCCAACAATCAAGTTCTTCAAGAACGGAGTACCAAGAGAATATAGTGGTAAGGAATTTGTTATCGTTGTTGTTGTTGTTATTATTATTATTATTATTATTATTATGGGTAATTAATATTGGCGGGGATTCGTTAAAAGTTACAGCTGCAAATTAGGTGTTTCCCTATAATTGTAGTCTAGACTTGATTGATAGACGTAATAATTAAAAAATATGATTAAATATTTTTGAATCATAATAGACTAGTACATGTGTATCTCTTTACTACGAAATGCAGTTATCAAATCACTAATTTAATTATTAATTTAATTTATCCAGGTGGGCGTAAAGCCAATGACATTATCGCCTGGTTGGAGAAGAGCACTGGTCCAGTTGTTACTGAACTGGCAACAGCTGCCGAAATTAAAGCCTTCAATGATAAAGCTGACGTCTCAATCGTTGGATACTTCCCTAGCAACGAGACTGACGAGGCCAAGGCTTACATTTCAGCTGCTGACTCCGGTATAGAGGGACTCAACTTTGCTCTCTGCATCAACCCCGAGACAACAAAAGAAATGGAAGCAGAAGTGAACACTGTTGTCCTTTACAAGAAAGTATGAAACTGTAAATTGTTTATATCTTTGTGGTTTTATGTTAGGAAGTTTGAGGTTTTTGATTTGTTTGACTTACAGATGTACTTTATACATTATACCAAGAATAGATAATTTATATAAGTACATATGTTTATGCAGGGTGTACTCTCTCCTTCCCTCCCTCCTCCCCCTCTTTCTGATGTTATCTTAGTTGTGTTTATGGAATTCATGGCATGCTTTTATAACTTCTCTTTGTCTATTCTCTTATTGTGTGTCTTTGCTCATTTCCTTGTGTCATTTGGACACAAGGAAATGAGACACACTGGCCAATAATGAAAACCACAATTCAACAATCAGACAATAGTCAACTCCATTACAGTCATTGTGTAGTAGTATCTGGGAATAGTATACTTGAGAACAATAGTGTGGAGTATCATAGTAGAGTTTGTATAGTATTCATTGTGTGGTATAGGGTACTGTAGTAAAGGTACTATAGTATAGTAAAGGTACTATAGTATTCATTGTGTATTCATTGTGTACTAAAGGGTGGTATAGTAAAGGGTATTGTAGCTCCTTCTTTAATTCCTCTTTATTTTTATCACTCTCTCTCTCTCTCTCTCTCTCTCTCTCTCTCTCTCTCTCTCTCTCTCTCTCTCTCTCTTGCTCCAGTTTGATGATGGCAAGTCAGTATTCCCAGCTGCTGACAGTAACTGGACTACTGAGAGTATCGTAAGATTTATTAGCGACGAGAGACTACCATACGTCACTCTCTTCTCTGATGAAGTAAGTGATCATTAATTGTCATTAATATCTCATTATTATTCATAGACTGCCCCAATTATTTTTGGCGGTAGCATTAAGAATCACCTCCTGTCATTCTTTGCTAGCGACGACGAGAAATACGAGACCTATATGGAGAACCTGAAAGTAATTGGAAAGGAATTCCGTGGAAAAGTAAAGACGACATTGGTCAATGTAATAATGTCCTCTCTTCTAAGGTTATAGTAGTACATATTGATTCTAAGAAGGAGGAGTCTGAGAGAATTATGGAATTCTTTGGAATCACTAAAGATGATGTGAGTTATTTATTCATTTGCTTGTCTATTTTGTTTGTTTTTTTTTCACTTTAGCTTCCAGCTATTCGTATTATCCACTTAAGCGAAGACATGAAGAAGTATCGTCCTGATTTCCAAGAGATCGAGACTGAGAAGTTGAGGGGATTCGTTCAAGGGTTTCTTGATGGAACAATAACTGTGAGAGGGGAGGGGACAGAGGGGGAGGGGTTGAATGAGGACACAGTAATTACATATAACTTTGTTCATTCTTATACTGTAGCCTCATTTGAATACTGAAGAGGTACCGGAAGATTGGGACGCAAAACCAGTAAAAGTCCTCGTTGGAAAGAACTTTAAGGAAGTTGCTTTGGACGAGACTAAACACGCCTTTGTAGAATTCTGTAAGTGCAAGAACATGTCATAAAACCCTTTCACCTCTCCCCCCCTCTCTCTCTCTTCCCCAGATGCCCCATGGTGTGGTCACTGCAAGCAGTTGGCTCCAATTTGGGACAAACTTGGTGAACACTACAAGGACAATGATCAGATTGTCATAGCTAAAATGGACTCCACCAAGAACGAAGTTGATGGAATTCAGATCACCGGTTTCCCAACAATTAAATTCTTCCCTAAAGGCTCAAAAGAAGGAGTAAGTAATCCATTAAATTGTATATTATCATAACCTGGGGGCCAGTCAGTAGAGATTAATGATAAAATACAATCAGCCATGTTGCTTTAGTCTTCCCATCCTTATAATAACACCCAGCTGCTAATCCCCCGCCTAAACTATGCAATATCATGGAATTGCCTAATTTTCCTCTAATACGGTTAATCTCTAACATTTATATATATCTCTCCTCTTCCTCCAGCATGACTACGTTGGTGGAAGGACTCAAGAAGATCTAATTCAATACGTTGAGGACAGGCTGGCCGGCAAACCGCTAGAGAAAGGAGAGGAGGTGGATGAGGGCATGGACACGATGGAAGATGACATGAATGATGATCCTGCCATGCCAGAGGAGGAGGAGGAAGATGGAGCCACAAGAGATGAACTTTAGATTCAATCAATATCTTGTCTCCTTCTCTCATTAGGATATTAATATTATTAATTATTATTATTATTATACGTCTTCTGTTCAATATTATTATTATTTTTTGTTCAGAAACTATTCAGTCATTCCTTCTCTCTGCTCTGTTACTTACGTCATTTTCATAATTATTAATTATAATAATTAAATTTGTCAGCTAATAGTTTTTGTATCTCTCTCTTCCCTTTTATTAACAAAATCAATTAATTAATAATAATAATACTGGTGTCTTTATGATTATGTACTACAATATATTTATTAGTTTCTAGGCAGACCACACGCGTTACAAACAGTCGAAGTCATTTCATTATGTAGTGTACAGTATTGACAGGACCACTGCTCTCCAGTGACAGACACAGCTGCTCCATTTCCCTCCGTTTTCTTGTGCCCATCATTCATTGCCTGTCCTTGCTCCTCTAGTGAAGAGTGTGTGGGAAACAATGGCCCTCTCATATCAGCCATTGGAGAGGGCACTGAAACAAAATATTAAATAATCATTATAATAATTATAATTAATATTTAAATGAATTACTAGAAGAGGCTATGATCAGCTGCTCAACGTGTTGCCACCATTCCCCAGCCCGCCATCTCTCAGCTCCTAGTCTGTCTTGCTCTTTGACGGCTTTACACAATTCGGATAAATGCGGCTACAAGAGGTGGGTGTGGTTAAGATTCTTAGTGGGGGTGGGGCTTACCCGGAGGTGTACGACGTCAGTAGTGTACAGGAAATAGAGAAAGTGAAAGTCCGAGGCCGTACAAAGGAAATTAGATCCTTTCTGTTGGTCCAAGTATTTTATAAACAAATCGAAACTCTATAAATAATAAACAAAACTCAAAATAAACAATTAAAGACATTGTGATGTAAACTATGGCGCATCTGAATGCTCTCAATTCTATTAGCCCATTTTTTCTAAAAATACCCATGGCTATAGCCCATGGTTTTTTCCAAAAAATGGCTCCGAAATCACCCCAAATTTTTATTACATTTTCTGATGCACATTGATGTCCTTAAGCTATGTAGCAAGTTTGAGCTGATTCCGACAAATATTTTTCGAGTTACGGCCATTTTTAAAAATCAGCCAATTTTTGAAAAATACCCAAAGCTATAGCCCATGGTTTTTTCCAAAAAATGGCTCCGAAATCACCCCAAATTTTTATTACATTTTCTGATACATATTGATGCCCTTATGCTGTGTAGCAAGTTTGAACTGATTCCGACAAACATTTTTCGAGTTACGGCCATTTTAAAAAATCGGCCAATTTCTGAAAAATACTCAAGGCTATAGCCCATGGTTTTTTC